TGGTAAATGTGATACCCATAAATTTCCATATTCTAGGATCCTTTATACTTGTACATATACACATGCAATAATTTTCAGATCAATGTTCTGGATGTTCAATCCATCACTCAAATGCCATCTGATCAATGTCTTACAATATCTGAGTTTGTAAGTCAAAGCAAAACCTATCACAACTAATCTTGTGGGGCAACCTTGTTCATTTTGCGCTATTCCTTACTGGTGGGTCATTACAATTGGTAGCATGAGGTTTCAGAGAGATCGCAGACATTTTTCGGTGTCATTACTCATATTCTTATTTACTGATAGTTTCGTTTTTGAAAGGTTTTTATGGATAGCATATAATTGAGTCTTATCCTTTTTTCCTTATTCCTTTTTTTTTCACTGTTTTATGACATTTTGATGCAATATATTGATATATATCGGAAAATCAATGACCTGTGTTACGGGTTCTAAATTCACTATTCTGTGTTAGTAGGCACCATCCTTCAAACATTCAACTTTGCTTAAATACCAGCCTTTAGTGCACAGATGTTTGATATCTTTATGCTTTCAGATATCCGTTATTGATATCAGCCAAAACACAATGGACGAAGAAGCTTTTGATGCTCTTGGTGTACTTTTATCAAAGTATGAAGTTGACCAACTCATTGCCAAAAATTGCCAGCTAACAAAAGCAAAACTTGATGCTCTTGGAAATCATTCTGGATTAAAAGTATGACCAAGTTATAATATAATATCATGCCACTGTTGCTCTTTTGTTGAGTTGGCTAGAAAATACACACAAAACAGCTGGTTTTATGATGTTCGATATTGGTAGATTTGGATAGTAAAGTCTTCTTTTTGCGGGAATATCTAAAATCAAAGATGTAAATATCCAAAATAAGGCGTGCAAGATCAAATTTAACGAATATTTTTATTTTTGATCGAAATTTACACTCCTTAAACAATTGTCTGCACCCCACTTTTGAAAACCACTGGTCTAGGTTCGATACAAACAACCATTTTTGTACAAGAAATTGCTATTTTTGATTAGCCAGGGTTTATCATATCTTAGTTTACAAAACTTTTGGATAAGGTTTAGATATGTAATCTTATTGATACTTAAAATCCATTTATTTTTCTGTGTTTCAGTTATCCAGGTTTGACATCAGTGAAAACCTAATGGATGAAAAAAGCTTCAATGCTCTTGGTTCCGCTTTAACAACAAATATAAAAGTTCTTGAACTTGTCATGCAAAATTGCCGACTGAATAAAAAAAAACTAGATGCTCTTGGAAGTCACTCAGGATTACAGGTTCCGTGTTTTATTGCTGTTTGATATATTATTGTCTGCATAATCTGCAAAGTATATTTGAAATGGTTTGCTATTCAGCATTTCTGCTAATGCCTGTTACGATTCAAGGTAGATATCTAGATCAGGGCTTCCCGAACTAGGGGCCGCGGCCCTAGAAGGGGCCGCGAAACGAATTTTAGGGGCCGCAAAGAGAACACCAATTTCACATATATATATGTCGTCGGTGGCCAGACATCGCAATTCATCATTTAAGCCTGCATAAACATACATTAAGCCAAGGCTGGACTTGCCATGCAGCAAAAAGCATTCGCCCCCATTACACTGAATAATTACGGTAAGTAACGTTAACCTGAATAATTATGTGCTTGTTTTTGTTATTGAGTGGGCCTAATAAAAGTTGAGAATTAGCTGTGCCAATAAAACATCAAAAATGCACATTTCAAACTGTTTAGTATTATTAACGTGGACAAGGGCCGCAAAAAATTTTAATATAATAAAAGGAGCGGCGAGCTCAAAAGATAACCTAGATCATAGAAATATACTCTAGGAAATATACTAATGTCATTGTTTTTTACAAATTTGAAAAATATACACTAAACAAACATTTACATATCTGAGGTTTAATATAGATCAGTCTATTTAATTCTTTTGCTTATTTTGTCGATAGCTTGAAGAAGTATAAAATGCATAGATATCTGACGACTTGGTGATATTACAAGTTAGTACTTGTCTAAATTCAAAGCCAACCAATATGGGTTGTAACAATTTTCTCAAACTAGATGGTTTCAAGTTCTGAGTTCACTACCAAAGTCTGCAAAGTTGTTCACCGCCCTCAATTTTTTTTGAAATTCCCCAATATTAGATTTCAAAGTTGGATGTCAATCATAATTTTATAAATGAAGAAGCTTTCAGTGCCCTTGGTTCACTTTCAAGTAGTGTTGGAGTTGATGAGCTCATCATGCGCAATTGCCAATTAACGAAAACCAAACTTGATGCTTTTGGGAGCCATTTGGCAAACTATGGTGTCTAGTCGGTCAGCAATCTATGTCGGTCATGGGACCAGTTAGCCAGTTATTAGTTTCAGATGCATGGACTTGATAGTGGAGGAAGGCGTAATTAACTAGCGATCACATGACTCACTTGGTGGGGAGGGGACCAGCAATCCTCTCGCACATATCTTTCCCTCAGAATATTTAAACCTGCGAACGCAAACATGGCAATCAGAGATGCGGTGGCTTATTACTAACGCTTAGCATGGCTTGGCATCACACTTTCTTTGGGTATGTCTTGAGTCGAGACAAACAATTACTGGTATGCAAGAACTAATTTATCTTGAATGTCGGTCTAGCTTGTCTGTCAAAACGAATCGAATATTCGAATGTATTCGAATACCATTTCAGCTGATTTTCCGATGTTTCCGAATAATAGCCCATTTTCGCAGTCAGCAGGGTGTTTTGGTTTTGGGAAAAATCTTCAAACGATTTTCCGCGCTTTGTCATGTATTGTAATGACCATGAAATAGAATCGGAACTTTGTTTTTCTTCTGTGCGAGCCAGCACCTCATATTGTTGTGACACCTTTGCACAGTCGCGAGATTGGTATTGCCTCTATACCCTTGCAAGGCCTCTTCTAATTGTCACATTCGTTATCATTAATTATGAAAATCCTTAATTGTTATGCTACCCAATAAATCGTTGCAAGTCCGAATTATTAGGAAATATAATTAATGACATATTATAATTAATATAATACAAATAACCACTTTTAAGCAAGAAACCACTTTTCTTGATGAGCCAGAAGCCGGTATCTGTTCCAAAACTTCAGATATGATTTAGATATGTAATCTCATTGATATTTGAAATTCAATCATTTATCTATGTTTCAGTTATCCAGGGGTGATATCAGTGAAAACCCAATGAATGGAAAGGCTTCAAAGGCTTCTCTTTGTTCCGTTTTAACAACAAATAATAAAGTTCTTGCCCTTGTCATGCAAAATTGCGAACTAAATAAAGAAAAATAAACCACCCTTTTTCAAATTTTTGAAAAACTGAAAAAGTCGCCAATAACGCATGCAATTGCATTTTGCTAGTCGTCAATTTTTTTCGTACATCACATATTATTCCGCGATAAACGCTTTCAACGTTGGTGTTTATTCTCTCTAAAACACAAATCATCGTCAAAATTGTGCCATAATAACGATGATAATCACCCAATTTTTGTACTCGCACAGAATTGTGAATCTGGTGAGAGTTACAATACGTTTATCGGCAACAAGGCAAATGAAGGGGTGAATCCATGAAGCAAATTATTTGATTGAAAAGCGGCAATATAAATTACTGAAAATAGGAACGTAAACAACAAGTTCTGTTGTAGGAGGCCAGGGACAATCTGAAATGCTTCTCTAGGCGTTGAAAATCACAAAATTATGTTGGTTCGGCGTTGATAACAATATTGTTACTGAAACCGCAAGGTGAAATTGAAGACATTTGAATTAATAAAGCAAGACAATTCAAACAAGCCCGTATCAGTCATGGTTTGATTACTTTACACAAAAGAAAAATCATTATTCGTTGAAAAAGTCGGCTCTTTTAACAAGTGCTGTATTCGAGGCGACTGTTCCGCGTGTATTTCGAGGCGATAAATATGTATTTTTGATTTACTGCTGAAATGTAATTTTTATTGTACGAAATTAAATTGTACTTTACTGGATTTTATATCCGATCTTGAGATTTTTTTTAACGTCGATAACGGCGCAAAAAAACGTATCAAAACTGAATACAAATGGGCAGTTTATCTCATGGTTTTTATGTACACAGATCGCGGTGGTGTTTTAATATAGTAATGTTTTTATTTTGACGTAAGAAAAAAACGCAACCTCAAGTTACATTAGACACAATTCAATTAATATATAGGGACATTTTGGATTCTTGTAGTTGTCATGGATTGAATATTTTTCATGACAGAAAAATCATTATACGCTGAAAAAGGTGGCTCTTTTAATTCTCGATTTTAAAACCCTTCCCCCTTTGAAAAATTCTGGCGACGCGCCTGCATGTCATGGTTTTGGAAGATATATAAATCAGGCTTCTCAACCGTCAAGCATCTCATGGTGGCCCGCAATGCGGTGCACACATGCACAGAATATTAAAAACAATCAAAATTCTGATTCTGTTTCATTGTCAATACAATACGTTAAAAAGTGCAGAAAATCGTTGAATGACTTCCCTCGAAAATGAAACACCTAGCTGACGGCAAAAAAAGGCTATCATTTGGAATTATTTGAAACTTTGCCTAAATGGTTCGATACTTTGATATTCAAATATATTCGAATACTCGATTTGTTTTGGACAACCCTGCCACAACTTATTTTAACCACTGGAAAAAACGTAAATAAAGGTGGTCCGCAAAGTAAAATTATTTGTGAAAGTGGGCCGTGAAAAAATTTACATTAAACAACCATATATTTATTTTAGGTTTACTATAGAATCTTTTTAATTCTTTTACTTATTTTAGCTTCAAGAAACAAAAAATATTAAGATATCTGTTGGCTCGGTGATATCGCAAGTTGGAAATAGCTAATCTAAAGCTTACAAAATTGAGTTGTAACATTTTTTTGCACTTAGTGGATTTAAGTTCTACGTTCACTACCAAGTGGTTGTTTACATAGTTTTACCACCCTTAATTTTTATGTAATTTTCCGATATTAGATTCCAAAGTTGGATGTCAGTCTAAATTCAATGAATAAAGAAGCTTTTAATGTGCTTGGTTCACTTTCAAATAGTGTTGGAGTTGATGAGCTCATCATGCGGAATTGCCAATTAACAAAAACCAAACTTGATGCTTTTGAGAGTCATTCTGGATTGAAGGTATGATATAGATCAGGAGTGTCAAATTTGTGAGTCTTCGAGGGCTTCATTGCGTTTTGGGAATTGTGCCAAGGGCCGGAAACAGTTTTTGATATATTTTTATAATGTATGCGCCAAGCATATTTTTAAATCGGTGTGGTTTGTGACATTTATTGTGATGTAATTCAACTGCCGAATAAAGTTTTGTTATTTCCCTCAAATTTTAAATGTCAATTACAATGCCAATTATTAATTTCTTGCATTTCACTATTATTGTAATTTAACTATCCAAAATATATTTGAACAAACTTTTGATAAAAAAAGAATACTACATACACCAAAATTAATTTTACGTACTATATAGGTAAATTTTAGGTCTATATAGGGACTGCCAGAAGTATGTGCACCAAGATGGCGCACAACCTGAACCCTAACCTAGTACACATATTATGTTGTCAACAATAAGATAGGAATTGCATCTTTTTCCTGGGAGAGAGGAAGGCCAATGAAGCGGCTTAAGCATATGGCGGACCACGAACTCTAATCAGATTACCAGTCTATGTCGGTCATGGGATTGGTTAGTTATTTGTTTCAGACGCATGGACTTGATGGTGGAGGAAGTCCCAACCGACCCGCGGTTATGTGAACCACCCTACGGTGGCAAGGAGTCCAGTAATTCTTTCACACATAATTTTTCCTCACAAGATTCAATCCTGCGAACCCACGCAGGGTAATCTGAGATGTGGCGACAAGCGTACTTCTAACGCTTAGCACGGTGGGCTACATCGACAATCCTAGTTTTCTGACCTAATACCTATTATTCATGCTCCCTTCGCATGACTGAAACAGAGTCGTGTAACATAAGTCACCATCAGCTGGTTGAGCAAAAAAATTTTATATCTTCAGTAATATAATAAGTAGGAATGTAAAAAATAACTAACACAGATGCTGATATTATCTTATCTCCATTTTTATTTGAACTAATTGATACACTATATTTACACCCAGTTTAAACATACCAAAGTAACACAGTAAAACATATGATGAGAATTTGCTTGCTTAAAATAATGATAAACTTTTGATGTTGGTTTTTATTAATCGTATCTGTCACAACTTTTAGAGAAAATTCAGATATGTAATCTTATTGTTAGTTAACTTTCATTTCCATGTTTTCAGCTATCCAAGTTTGATATCAGTGAGAACCCAATGGATGAAAAAGGATTCAATGCTCTCGGTTCTTTATTGACAGCAAATAATAAGGTTATTGACCTTGTTATGCAAAATTGCCAACTCACAAAAGAAAAACTGGACGCTCTTGGGAGTCACTCAGGATTAAAGGTTTTGTTATTTATTGCTGCTTGATCTATCATTAAATAATCTGTATATTCGTAGTGATTTTCAATTCAGCATTTCTGCCAAACTAGGTTGCGATGGAGAGAAGATAAAATTGATCTTCTTTTTCCGCAATTTCACTTTTTATCTAGAGAATTTGGAGTGAGAAGAAATTAATTTCATTTGTATTATTTCTTAAGTGCTTTTCAAGAAAAAATCTCCGCAAAAACCTAGCAATAACCCAAGCATGTCACACACTCTTTTTGATGGAAAAAAATAGCCTCTTGTAGCTGGCTATGTCTTTGACCCGCTGAAGCTCGACGGTGTAACTAATAGACTAATAAATTGTATTAGAGCAGTGGTTTTCAACCTTTTTTCATTCGTGGCCCACTTTTTGTCGCACGAAAGTCCCGTGGCCCACTAATTTTTTTATGCTTGAAGAAACTACTAACTTGAAAAACAAATAGCAACAGATCATATTTCCGAATGAATTTTTGTTCAACTGAGCATTAGTGAGATACTTGCTGCTGAACATTATCGACTAATACATTCATTTTTGGTGGCGTTGAAAAGAGCGCACAACGCATACCATTCTCCACATCAAGTCGGTTCCGAGCCTTCGTTTTGAGTTGCACCAATGTGGAAAACCCTGCTTCACATAAATACGTGCTACTGAACGGCAAAAGCACTTTGATGCATTTTTACTGATGCGCGGATAAGTAACACACACCCAAAACTCACAGATTGAATAAGTCTCAAACATATCCTTACAAGCAGAGTCGTTTCTAAAGTCAATGAGCTCATCTTGTAAGTCATCAGCAACTTTTTCCACTGGTAATGTAAACGGCTTTCTCACCAGCTCCAAATCAACATCAGATATTTCAGGGAAATAGGCTAAAAATTCTTCCCGGAGACTGACAAGATGTTGCAATATTTCAGACGACAGATTCACATCCAAGGTACTCACAGATGAAAGAGCTTCAAACATTGCAAAATTTCCACTCTCAATTTTTCGTTCCCAATTTTCAAGCTTTTCCACAAACGCATTCAGGTCGTCCATGAAGTCAAGTACAGTTGTATCTTTTCTTTGTAGCTTGAGATTTAAGCGGTTTAATTGGTCAAAAATATCAACTAGATAAGCAAGTTTAGAAATGAAGGTACTATCTGCAAAGCAAGATTTTAATTTGTATTCTCCCTGTCTGTTCAGAAATTCTTTCAATTCCTCCCGTAGTTCAAATACTCTGGCTAAAACATTGCCCTTGGACAGCCAACGGACCCGAGTATAGTATAATAAATTCAAGTGTTCAGCATTCATCTCAGAGCATAGTTTTCTGAAAAGGCGTGTATTCAGTGCACCATTCTTCACAAAGTTTGCCGTCTTGATAACTGTGTTCAGAACATCTTGAAGAGAGTTTGAAAGAGTTTTTGATGCCAGAGCTTGTCTGTGTATCATACAATGCATTGAGATGACATCAGGAGAAAGATTAAGAACTAATCTTTGTAAGCCACTTTAAGCTCCTAACATTGCAGGAGCACCAGCCGTGCATATACCACAAACATTTTCCCAGGCGAGCCTTTCTTGGTCGAAAAACGCGACCAACTTTCCCATGACATCCACAGCTCTCGTATTGGCCTCTAATGCAGAGCAAAAGGGGATATTATCATTAATGTTATTTTCTGACATGTATCTGCAAAACACTAAGAGCTGAGAGCAAGAGGCAACATCGGTAGTTTCATCGAGTTGAATTGAGAATAATCCAAATTGTGAATTTTTAATTTCTGTAATTACCTGTTTTTTTATATTGTTCGACAAATCAGCAATTCTCCGCTGTACAGTATCATTTGAAAGAGGAATTTGTTGCAATTTCATTTTGCTTTCGTCACCAAGTACGATTCTAGCCATTTCTGAAGCACATGGTTTGATGAGAGTTTCGCCAATCGTGTACGGTTCACTGCATAACAATGACGCTTCAACAATGCTTCGGGAATGTTGCTGAAATTCTTCCGTTTAATCCAACCGCAAACGCTTTACACCCTCTTCCTTTAGTTTGAAAAAACTCACATCTTTATCCTTGTAAGCTGGATGAACTTTTTCCAGATGAAGTTTCAGTTTTGATGGCCTCAAGCAATGATGTCCAAGAACTTTATAGCATAAAACACACTATCCTTTTTCTTCTCTGTTTTCAAGAAATGATGTGAATCCATACTTAATGTAATTTTCGATGAACTTTCGTTTTGCCATTTCAACTGATTCCCAAGTTTCAAAATACGATACGATTACTATCCCCCGTCTAGAGCCATCCGACTATAGAATGTGTTTGTTGCGTCACGATGCGTTTTTACAACGAGGCATGTTTTGCAATTGGATATATTGTTTTTGGAAGACGCGTGAAGCTGATTATGTTAACGAATCAATTTTTTCAATCAACAACCCTTGCAATTCATAATTGGTCTGTGGCCCACCTCAAAATGTCTCTGTGGCTCACCATGTCACTTTTATTATTGCTTGCTAATATTTATTGCAAATTTCACAACTTAGTTAGATATATTATATGAAATCTTGAATATAAACACTGACCTGTGACAAAATTTGTCATTTTAGATTTATTTTGACGAGAGTCATAGTGTTCCACAGATTGCTGGCATTGATATGGAGTTTTATCTTTTATTTTCAAAATTTCCTCCCAATAATCCTATTCGTTTTACTAGATTTCCACTTTGGATATCCGATCAATAGCCGGCATGACATTCAATCTATTTCTTGCAATATCTAAGTTTGCAAGTGAAAGTGAGGTCAAAGAACTACTGATGGACCCATGGAAAAGCTTTGAAGCAACTAAAGTTCAAATAATGGAATTGAGTAAATGGAAAGTCTGTGGAAAGGTCTGTAACATATTCATTGAGACTTGGAATATGATAACGAAATAATTGCCTAATTCATTAAATATGTTGTAAATTTGTTGATAAACCTTGGATCTCACTTTATTGTACAGAGTGATGTGAATTCAGGCAATTGATATCCAGTGAAGGTCAAACCCAAACCATTGTCTATTCAGAATACATTAGACAATCGCCTTTTATGCTGATTATGGAGTTGAAATAAACTTATCTTACCATGCTTGTATATCTAGGTGATATTCATAACAGATCTCTCATAATTCGAAGTACTCTATTACAAATACATCTTGAAAGATTATTAACATTATTTACTAGCAAGTTTTTGTCTGCTTTAGGCATAGATGGGATTTTCAATATTATTTGAGGGGTTGAGGGGGTTTCCAAGGTAACTTACGCGAGATACCAAGTCAGCAGAACCATTTAAACACACGATTATTATTTAACTTGTAACACTAATTAAAAAATAGTTTTAAAACTACTAAAAATATTTTGATCAAAACAAGTCAGCTTTTTCATTCATTTCCAAAATTTGATTGCCGGTCCATGAGCCAAATTATTTCGTGTTGCCAGTCCACAGGGTTGAAAGGTTGGGAACAACTATTCTATGTTTTATCCATGCAATGACAGCACTGCTTTTATATCTGAATGATGCGGAGGTTTCTGTAGTTAAAGCAATCTATTTCCATTGCCCACTGCAATAACAACTGTATATATAAGTCAGCATAAACAAAACGCCTCTTAAAAAAGGCAAATATCCTCTTTTCTCTTTTGTAGGTGAATATCATTGCAATAGAACTTAATAAAATTGGTCTCTGCTAATTGAAAAATCTTGATTATTAAGAAACTTTTCCTGCAGTATATATGTCTTGCAGTATGTATGTCTTAATTAACTTGATTTTTTTTCAATCAGCTATCAGATTTTGAATCAGCCATCTGTTGAATTTTAATAAAAAATTTGTCCATTTTGATCAATCAGTTTTTAAAGTTTGCTTTCTCCATTTCTCATACTTTTATCCACTGTCACAATCACATTTTGTGACCGAGTTCATCTACATTAGTTCACTGATCTTCTTTATTTCAGTTGGAAATACTAGATATCAGTTGGAACGATAATCTTGGCACTTCTGGCTTTGGTGAAGTTGGATCAGTTGTTTCAAAATGTCAGGTGAAGGTATTGCAGGCTCGGCATTGCAATCTGACAGATGAAGGAATAAGAGCATTCAAGGAAAACACTAGTAATGCAAAGGTAAAACCAGTTCACATACCTGAACCTATATTTGCCATAATTTGGTAATGTAAAGTCAAGTTTATTTTTTCAACCAGTAAAAAATATCACAATCATAAATTACGACAAAAAAAAATAATTTACTTACTGGGGAAGAGAAGTCGCGACGAATCAAACTGGTTATCGAGCAGCGACACCCAAATGTTTTGGAGATTGCTGTATTATACGACATTATCACATGCTTTACACTCGTAACAAAACTCTGTACAAGCAGCCATTGATGAGTTTGACAAACTGAAATATTTCAGGTTCAGCATTGCCCCCAATATTTAACAAACCATGAGGTGGAGGGCATAGGAATGGAATCTGAAAATTTTAATCTGTGATGTAATGGATATTTTTCCCGAGCTTCGATTTTCTTGTTTATTCCAGGAACAGTGACCAATCACTAAAAGGTCAACAATGACGTAACAATTTTTTCATAAATAAGTTGTTTTTTGAATATCCTAAATGTCATTATAACTTCTTACGCGCTCCAATTTAATGCATTAAAAATTATTCCCAGAAAATCTACGATAGACTGGGCATAATTTAGCTAACAACTCGTTTAGAGCCATCCATGCCGCTAACAGGTTGTTAGCTAATTTATGCCCAGTCTATCGTAGATTTTCTCTAAACCAGTTTGTAAGCGCCATATCTTCAAAACAATCCCCAATTATGCATCACAAATTTTGCAATACTAAAGCATAGGAACAATTTTTCAGAAACATCTATATCTATACAGTTATGACCAACGCTTATTAAAATAATTTTCTAATTTAAATGAACATTAAATGGAAATTTTAATTCAACTCTGAAATTGTAACATAATATCATAAATTAA